CCTTTGAGCGAGCTCTTAACCAACTGAGCCACTCAGCCGGCCCCTTAATAATGTTTTTAAGGCAGAATGATTTGAAGTCTCCATATCCAAAAATTGACTTCCTTTTGGTTCTTTCTTTAGTCTATCTCAGTTTTCTTAAATTTCAGTGCTGAAGAGCTACAGGATGGGTGTACACATGAAACCTTGCTTATTGTACTTTATGAACAATTAGGGATTGTTAAAAGGGTAATTTACACCATAATCCTTTCCAAGTGCATTTGTTTGTAGAACCTAACCTCCTATTAAAGACAAAATCCTCTCTACTAATGTTTACTGAGCATCTACTGTGTAACTAACACTTATATATTTTACCTCATTTAAACTATGTAAGGTTAAGAAGTTGTAAGTTCAATTTTATAGGTAAGGAAAATGATGTTCAGAGAATTTACATAACTTGCTCAAATTCACACAGTTATTGGGTATCAGGGTTAGAATACAAACACCCATTTGTCTGACTCCATAGCTCCTGTGCCTCTTTGTAAGGGCTCAGGAAATTTGGACAGTGTAAGGGTTATGTACACTAGCTTTGACCAAACCAGTCCTGGGTTTGAACCTTGGAACTCCCACTTTCTAGCAATGCAATGATAATAACAAATAACTCTGAATGTCTTCCAATTGCTCAGCACTTAATGTGCACAGTATCTCATTCAACCTTCCTGGACACTTTTGGAAGGAGATACTACTATTATCATCATTCCCACTTTACAGATGTGGAAACTGAGGCTAAAGAACAATCAAAAGCAGAAATGAGACTTGAACCCAGATGTCTGATGCTAATGCATATGCTCATTACCAAATGATACGGATAAAAAAAAGAAACAAAGGCAGTTGAGAAGAATTGAATCCACTCTATGGAATGATCTATATGGTACTGTAGCTAAGAATGTGGACCCTGGAGAAGGTTACCTGGGGGCAAATACCAGCTCCTCCACTTGCTAGAGATATGGCTTTGGGCATGTCATTTAACCTCAGAGTCTTCATCTGTAAAATGGGCACATAGAAGTACCTATGTGTATTACTTTCCTAGGGCTGCCATAACAAAATAATACAGACTGGGTGGCTTAAACAACAGACATGTATTTTCTCACAGTTCTGGAGGCTAGAAGTCCAAGCCAAGTTGTTGGCAAGTTGAGTTTCTTCTGAGGCCTCTGTCCTGTTGGTGGCTTTCTCACTGTATCCTCCATCATTGTTCCTTGGTCTTTGTGCTACCTGTGTCCTGTCTCCTCTTCTCATAAAGACACAGTCATACTGGGTTAGGGCTCACCCATAGGACCTCATTTTACCTTAATCACCTCTTTAAAAGGCCCTGTCTCCAAATACAGTCACATTTTGAAGTACTAGAGGTTAGGACTTCAACATATGACTTGGAGGGAAGAGGGGTAGGGCATAATTCAGCCCATAATACAATCTCATAGGGTTATTGTGAAGATCCAATGAGATAATACATGTAAAGTAAAGATGGGGAACCTAGAATGTTTCAAGAACTTAATGACTGTTCAATGTAACTGAACACTTAAGTTAGGCATAAGGGTATCTGGCAAGTTACAAATCTTTCTTTGCTAGAATATTGGCTGGAAGTGCCCTGGGGGTATCTCTTCTCAGCCAGGTGCTCAGTTCAGCATCATTGCCTTATGGTCAATTAGTCCCCATCTTAATCCCCACAACTATTCCATTCTGGTCTGGCTACTCCTTAAGGACAATACACTCTTCTCGTAGTGAGTTGTCAAACTTTCTTTCTGTACCTGCTCCAAGGTTTGTCTGTAAAATGAGGAGACATTGTGTCCCAGCTACACACAGCTCAGGAAGTGCCTTTCCAATACTACTGCTATTTCTACTCCTTGGGCAAGCCACTTATTAAAACTTAATGACAATCACTTACATCTATAAAGCCATTTTCAATTTGCAAAGCTCTTTTCCATCCATTATCTCTTTTAATCCTCACAACCTCTGTAGAAAGGAAGTATGTTTTTCTCCACTTTATAAATGAAGAATACAGGGCTCTGAGGAGTAGCACCATCATCCCGGGTCACGTAGTTGATCAGTGGCAGAGATGGGCCTCAAATTCTGGTCTTTTGGTTCTAATATGACAGGAGAATCTCACCTATTCAGGCATTCTTCTACAATATAAATTATCTAGTACCCCAGCCCTGCTCTCTTTTGAGGAGTTGTAGGTAACTTATTTGGACTATTTTCATTGGAAGTGACAAAAACCCAACTCAAACTGGCTTAGGCAAAAATTGAATTTATTGGGCCGGCCGAGTGGCTCAGTTGGTTAAGAGCTCGCTCAAGAGTTTGAGCTCTGAGCAATAGCGGTTCGATGCCTGGCTGGAGCTGAGCTGCCACTGAGCTGCCAAAAGGTGGCAGGATGGTTCAGCTAAAAAAAAAAATTGAATTTATTTGCTCAACTAACAGAAACAATTCTTCAGGTATGAATAGATACAGGTGCTCAAACTATGTCATCAGAACTATCTCTCTCCACTTCTTGGCTTCCCTCTGTGTTCATCTTATTCATAGACAAACTTCCTGCTTGGGGTGTCAAAGATGGTCCCAGTAGCTAAAGCTTATAATTCCCCCAGCTCATCAAACTCAGTAGAAAGTGAACACCTCTTTCTTGTAAACTGCAACAAATGACATGGATATCATCTCAACTACAGAGGTGCCAAAAAAATGTATACATATTTTAAGAAAGGAAAAAACTGTATTAAAATTGTGATATTCAATATATACCGATAACAAAAGATGAATACAAATCACGTGTATACATTTTTTTGGCACCCCGGGTACTTGGGTTGGCTTATGGACCCCTGAAGCAATCATTGTGTGTAGTATAATGGAGTATTCTCATTGCCCAGGCATGATCATTTGCCCTCCTCTGGAGAAGAGTATGGTGGTGGGGTGAGTCTCGCCAAACCCAGGGACTGAGTAATGGAGAATGGAGTCTCTTCAAAGAAAAAGTAAAGTACTGATGTCAGAAGTGGTGTGGGTGACGGGCAGGTCCCTACAGGGTGCCTTTGCTCTGAAGAGCTAAAATAGAACAACCAGTAAGGAACTGGGGGACTATCTTAGCAAGAACTCTTAGTTCTTGCCTCGAGTAAAAAGTGAACTTCTGTGGTTTTTTTGCTTGGACTGCCTAGCTTGGCTCAGCAGGATAGGAAAAAAGGCAATAATTCATAGCAGAGTAAGGAGGAAAGATGGAGTTTCTGGCTCCAGTAACTTGTGTTCAGAATAGTGCCAAGCCAGGAGCACCCATGGAAGGAGAATCTGAGGTGCTCTTTGAGGATGACCACTTGCTTGCTCCCTCTTCTTTCCAGCACCTTTTATCTCCCCAGGAGAGCAGGGAAAACACCTGTGTTACCCACCATCTTCTCCCCAGGGCTTAGCATGGTACTATGCTTGGCACATAGCAACGGCCTATCACATGTTTATTGCATGGATGAATAAATTCATGAATCAGGTTGATCAGACTAATTGGCAGGATTGACCCACCTCTTTGTATAAGTAAATCCCGCTCTTCGACCTTTGTTCTCCATCTGTCAGGTGGGAGGTGTAGAACAAGACTCTCTCCACAGCCCCTTGCAGCTTATGATTCCAGTATCTTAGGACTATCAGGATACCCTCTGCAAAGAACCAATGGAAGGTAACCAAACTTATTGAGCACTCTGTGCTCAGGTGACATGACCTCACATGGGTCTGAGTTGCCCAAATTGTGGGATTTCATCATTTTTTTGGGGGGGTGGGGATGATGAAAATGACACTCCCCATTTTTTATTTTGCCCAATGAGGACGTTAAAAAAACCTTCCACGAACTATCATCACCTTTTCTTTTAAAAAGGGAATTTTTGCACTAAGATAGCAGAAAGTACATAATCTTAGAAAAACAACAACTAGTCCCTTTTTCCTCCTGCAAAAAAGACAGTTGGCAGCCTTACATGATGATGTGATGATGATGATGATGTTGATGATGATGATTTGCAGATAGATGTAAATTTCATCAGACCGACCCTTGTGTGGGGTCCAGTATTTGGAACCTACTAACAGATTATTTTTCAACCCCCCTTCCACTTTTAAGTGGGTTTAATCTCCCCCACTTTACAGACGAGGAAACAGGGTCAAAGAGCGCAAGTGCAAGGGTCACAGAGATAGTTAGTAGTAGTTAGAGCTTGTCCGAACCAAAGGCAACCCAGATCACCTTCGCAGATCCTGAGCCAAAGCTGTTTTCTTGCAGAGAAAGAAATGACCCACCCTGGCGCCCTTGGATTGCCCCCCAGGGTGTTCTCTGCCTCACCTTGAGCCTGGATTTGGATGCTTTGTTCTTTATGATGTGCCCACTTCATGCCAGGCACTGGGGAGAGTGTGGGAGGGAAACCAACAGGTTACCAGCCTCCTCTCCTTTCTCCGGATACTCGCCTAGGTCCTGTTCCCCAGGCCCGGCTCGTTGCGCTGGCGGCCAACGAATCCCCACCGCAGGCGTGGGCTGCTAACAGTTTAGGGGGTTCCCTCTCCCAAGGGTGTTGGCAGTTTCCTAGGAGACTCTAGGAACCTTCAACGCTTCCAAGACCCAAAGGACTAGAAGCGTAATGGTGCAACTTGAGGTACTGTGATAGGCTGTAGGGAAGGTAATTGGGAGGAAGAGATCAGTTCAAACCCTATCAAAGAAGACCCCGTTCGGCCCCTCCCCCTATTCCCATGGGCTTTGCGGGGACCCACAGCCCCACAACCTAGGCTGGAAGAAGGGGGTCCCCCAAACCAGAGAGCCCTACTGTGGAGGGGACTTATTGCTCTGGCTGGGGGACGTCGGGGACCGTGCCACCCCTCCCCCTTTCCGCTCCGCCCCGCACGGCAGAGGCAGGAGCGCGCCTTCGCCTTGCCGCGCCGGTGCACGAGAGCGCCCGCCTAGGCGCGGGAGCGCGCCCCGGGGAGAGCCCGAGCAAGATGGAGGCCGCGCCGCGGCCCCCGCCTGGGCCAAGGCAGCCGCTACTGGGAGCGCGGAGCCGCGGCGCCTAGGCTGTGCCAGTCCCGGACCCGCTGCCCCGGACCAGGCCCAGGTTGGTCTCCCCGCACCCCCTCCCCGAAGCCGCAGCCTCGGTGCGCGTCCGGCCTGGGTGCGGGGCAGCCGCCCCCCCACCCCCGGCCCTACCGGGGCCCGGCCGTTCTCCAGCGTCCAGGGGACAGCCCCTGCCCACCGCCCCCTCCTCGCAGCCCAGGCTGCCTTCCCGCCCAGGTCCCTCGTCCCCTTGGCCTGGAAAACCTTTCCCCAGCCCTGGCCCGCCAATACTAAGCTCCCTCCCAGCCTACATCCAGCCCTGGCTTCTGAAGGACCCCTCGAATCCTCCCGCTCCGTGTCCAGACCCTGCAGTTCCATCCCCGACTCCCCTATAGCCTTATCCTGATCCCTTCACTTCGTCCTCTTAGACCCTCATACCAGCCTCCCCACCCTCTCCCAGCCCCCATATCACCTTCCCAATCCCCCAGTACCTGCCCCTTCTTTCCCCTTCTTACCCCCTTATTGAAGCGCCCACCCCATCCCCACAGCCCTTTTCTAGACACCCAATACCAGACCTCCTACCCCTAATACCTATCCCTAATACCATTCCCTTCCGAGCTCCGTAATACAACCCCTCTGCTAATCTTGCAATACCGGTCCCCAGCCTCCATTCCATCTCCCCATGCGCCCCTCTTATTCCTCCAATACCAGCCCCCAAGCTCCCTCCCCAACTCCCCCATGACCGCTTTCTAACTCCCTCATTCCAGCGCCCAAATCCTCATCACAGCCCTCTCATCCCAGCCCCCCAACTTTCACACGGCCCCTTCCTAAGTCCCCAATTGGAGATTTTTGCCAATTCTCCCCACAGACACCAACCCAACACTGTCATGACCCCCTCTTAGCTTCCCCATACCAGCCCCCGGGTCTCCCCAGCTCCGCCCAGGCCTTGCTCTCACGAGTTCTTTGGCTCAGGGCTGCTTCTCGCGTGCGTCCCCAGCTCCCACCCGGCAACCCGGCGGTCGGTCCCGGGCCGGCGGCCCCCGTCAGCGGCCGCCGTCGCTGCCGGCCCCGCCCCCGGGCACCATGCTGCCCTCGCAGGAGGCCTCCAAGCTCTATCACGAGCACTACATGCGGAATTCGCGGGCCATCGGCGTGCTATGGGCCATCTTCACCATCTGCTTCGCCATCATCAACGTGGTGGTCTTCATCCAGCCCTACTGGGTGGGCGACAGCGTGAGCACCCCCAAGCCTGGCTACTTCGGCCTCTTCCACTACTGTGTGGGCAGCGGGCTGGCGGGCCGCGAGCTCACCTGCCGCGGCTCCTTCACCGACTTCAGCACCATCCCGTCCGGCGCTTTCAAGGCGGCCGCCTTCTTCGTGCTGCTCTCCATGGTGCTGATCCTCGGCTGCATCACCTGCTTTGCGCTTTTCTTCTTCTGCAACACCGCCACGGTCTACAAGATCTGCGCCTGGATGCAGCTCTTGGCAGGTAGGGGAGGGACGGGGGAGGGACCCCTAGAACAGGCGCTGGGGAAGGGGGCTCCTCCCTTCTAGGACCCCTTCTTGGAGGAGTCAGAGACAGGTTCTGCTCATCTGTCTAAAGACACACCTCCTTGGCTCTCCCTCAGCAGCCACTGGGGGAAGGGGGGAAGGTTATGAGAGAGAGACACCTTGGGGCAGGGGCTAGAGCCTTAGAACTGGGTCTTTGGGATTGTGTGATTGGATATGGGCCGACTGTATTTATTGATAGGTTAGCATTATGTTAGAGTCTCTGAGAGTCTCTGTTGGCTGTTTTATGGGAAATAATTATCTAAATGAGGAGTTACTCTAGGTGTGAGCATGTGTGTAGGTGTGTGGGTGTTGAAAAAAGCATGAGATGGGGAATCAAGAGATCCGACTTTGACCTTTAACTTTCTGACATCATTAACTTGGGGTTTCACTTTACTTCTCTGAAGCTCAGTTTCCTTGTTTATAAAACAGTGAAAGGGATTCCAAGAACAAGTGAAAGAGTATCTTGTAAACTTTAAAGCTCTGTGCTAAGATAAAGGAGGACAGGAGGAGGCTGTTTATAATGTCTACCCAATGTTTGAAATGTGGGTGGTTGACAGCACCTGGCAAATGGGTCTCTGGAGGACAGGTCTCTGTCCCCTACCACCACCCAATGCAGGAAGGGTTCTGGTGCTATGCCCAAAGAGAATGAGCTTCTGGGACCCTCTGAAATGTTTGGCTAAGATAGATATCTTAACATAACAATCAAAGAAGGGCCTTTGGGAATAAGAACTGCTGAGACAATTTTCCAGGATCCATTAGAGTCCCCTACCCCCACCCGCATTTCGATCGAAGACATATTTTAAAGATTCAGCAACTTGGGCATTTGCCTAATTGCAGGCAGGGAAGAGAATTGGGCTGGGGAAAGTGGGGGCCAGAGGATGGGGGAGGAAGGCTGATGAAGACTAGGAAAAAGTTTGGAGCCTTCCAGGGTGAGAAGGAGAAGGGAAAATATGATGGTCATGCAGCAGAGATGGTTTTTCAAAATAAGCACCTCAAGGTATTCAACAAGCGTTGGCCCCTTCAAAATAAATTAAAATAAAATAATGACATAACTTAAAAGTCAAGAATATATGGCTTCAAGCATGAATGGATCCAGATGCTTAAATAATGGCATTAAAATATGTCTCCCTCGATTTCTTGGTTCCTCTGTGTTGGCTCATTCTTAAGTCCACTTCTCTCTTAAAGGTGATAAATCAGGGTACTAGCAGCTCTGAATTTACATTTATTCAGCTTAGCAATGCCTGTGGAAAAAGAGCACCTGTTACTCAATGGTTCTAGCAAAAGTCCCAAGACTGATTCTCATTGGCTCATCTTTGGTCAAGTGTTCATCTCTTAATTAATCAGCATGACTTGTCTAAGGCCTCAGCCACACGCCCATCCCTGTAACATATGGACTGATAGTGGAGAAAGATCAATTCCTGCAAAGAGAAGTCAAACATGACCACTGGAAGAGGGATACTGTAGATAAGACAAGTACAGACAGAAATGGAAACCCAGGGCAATCGAGGAGGCTGCTGGCTCAGTTGGAAGTTGAGGCTTGAGCAAGGCAGGTGTGAGGTGTGGGAGAGCATTCTGAATGGAGAGGAAGGTCATGGGCAGAGACACAGAGGTGAGGATGCCACGTCTGCATTGAGTGTGACATCCACATAGGGGAATAGCGGGAGGAGAGGGCAGGAAGGAATGATGGGGCCAGTGTGCAAGGCTCTGGATAGTGGGTCAAGGAATTTGACTTTAATCAATAGCAGTTTGAAGTTGCTATGACATTTATTATTATTCAGGAAATAGTAGTTAAATAGTAGTTAACATTTATGAGCTTTTACTCTATGCTTGATCATTTGCTAAACGTTTACATGCATACTGTTATTTGATCCTCATAACAATCCTATGGAGTAGGTGCCCTTATTGATATTTTCTAGATGAGAACACCTTGAGCCTCAAAGAAGCAAAAGCCATTTGCCCAAGGTCATAACGGTGGTTAGTGGTGGAGCCAGGATTATAACTCCGTCTGTTTGACTCTAAAGCTCAAGGATTTATAAAGGAGCATTTATGCTGGGGATAGTGGTGTGATATATTTGCATTTACCAACCAAATGCAAAGCAGAGAGGCTGGAAGATCCAGGTGGCCCTGTATGGAGTTAGGGGTCAGCTTTTCAGGGATTCTCGGGATATCTCTGGGACTCTTTACCTGGTCTTTCCCATTTACTGGGAAGACACAATGTGCCAGCCTACATGTTAGACATTTTCACATTCATTATGTCATTTAATCTTCATCTGTTAAAGTGACTTGCCCAAAGGCCACACAACTAATGAAAGGAGGGGATGAAACTTAACACAAGTCCAAAAGGATCTAAAACCTGTTCTTATCACTGAAGTGAAACCCAGGAAGTAAATACACAAATTACAAGTTACAGCTGTTAGCTGTATGCACTCAACGTTTATCTGGGGGTTGGGTGAGGTTAGCCAAGGGGAGGTTGCTGGCTGGAGTACAGACTCAGGTTAGAAGCCTGGTTGAGGGTCCAAGGCGGCAGTGGGGAGTAGTGGCTTAAGAGCAGAGGACTTAGAATTCCCCCTCTGTCACTTCCCTGCTGTGTGGCCTTGGAGAAGTGGGTCTTCCTCTCTGAGTCTCAGTTTTCTTATTTGTAAAATGAAGATGATTATTGTACCTACTTCAGAGGTGGTAGAAAGAAATATACAAAATGATAGGTATAAAATGCTGAGTATAGTTCCTGGTGTACAGTAAACACTCAATAAATGGTCAGTTTTATTCCTGTGACATCATCTGAGTGAAGAGCAGTTTGTGAGGAGTCCTCGATGCTCCTGTGGGAGAGTCTTGGACTTGTGGGGATGATCAAAGGCCTTGAAAAGTCATAAACTCTCAGCTGGAAAGGGTCTTATGAATCAGCCTGCACAACTCCTTCATTTTGCAGATAAAAAAACTGAGTCCCAGAGAGAAGAGACACGTTCATGGTCACAAAGTGAGATCCTCTATCCACAGAAGGGAGATGATTCTGATCCCAATTCATTCAATATTGAGCGCCTACTATGTGCCAGGCATTGCCTGGTGCTGGAGTCACAGCTGAGAACAAAGTGTGTGAGATCGAGTGGGAGCTGGGGGAGACTGAAGGTGGAGGTGGCAGCAGGGGCTAAGCCAGAGGTGAGAACTTCCAGCCTTCTAGATGTGTGTCCTAATCAGCAGGGTCTCTGGGCTAGGCCCAGAAATGACAGGAGCTCCTGTCACTATAGCATAGAATACACACCCACATTTCTTGCTGTTTGTTTCAGATTTGGTTTAGGATTTTATGCATCCAATAAGTCTTTGTTGATGTGCATGACACTGCTGACTACACAATGGGGGAATTTCTTTCCTTCTTCCCTTGATCCCTCCTTCATTTTCTTTCTTTCTCCCCAACTCTCCTTGCTTCCCTTCTTTCCTTCCTTTCCCCTTCCTTCCCTCCCTTCCTACCCACTTCCTTTTTCTCTCACATCAATCCTTTACTGAAGCCTCCTCTCTGTGTCAGGCACTGTGCTAAGTTCTGGGAATTCTGATTGATAGTCTTCACTCCCAGGAACAAATGTTTTCATAGTTTCATGGCAGCAGCAGGGAAGAAAACAGATCATCACACATGTACAACACATGATTTGACAGAATCATGCACAACGTATTCTGGGGGCACGAAGGGGACTTCTTTTTTTTTAAGATTTTATTGGGAAATTGGGGGGAGGGAAACAGTGTTGGGGAATCGGGGAAGGGGAACAGACAACTTGCTGTCCTTTTGTTCTTCAGTCTAGTTGTGGAGGACGTTGCTTCACTGGCCCAAGTTGGCACCATCATTGCGCTCTTCCCGGNGCTAAAAATTGGGGCTCTACTGAGCAACAGGGTTGCTGGTTTGATTCACAGCCCGATCTGAGTTGCCGCTGAGCTGCCAACAGGTGGCAGGATGGCTCAGCTAAAAAAATAAAAATAAAAAATAGGGCCGGCTAAGTGGGGCATTGGTTAAGAACTGGCTTTCCACAACTAGACTGAAGAACAAAACAACAGCAACTTGTCTGTTCCTCTTTCCCCGATTCCCCAGCGCTGTTCCCCTCTCCCAATTCTCCAATAAAATCTTAAAAAAAAAAAAAAGAACTGGCTTGGGACACCAGAGGGCCCTGGTTTGGATCCCACATATGCGGGCCAGTGACACTGCCCTCTGCAGCTAAGATAGTGAATGGCATCTCGACCAGGGGCTGGGCTGCCGTGGGTCGCCAGCGACGGCGTAGACTGCAGCCCCTGCTGCAGTGGGTTGCCATAAGCTACCGTGTGTAGCCGGCAGCCAGCGTGAGTGGCCAGCAGCCGCCGTGAGTAGCTGTCCAGAGGCCGGCAACTGATCTGCCTCACCCGGGGAAGAGCACAATGATGGTGCCAGCTTGGGCCAGTGAAGCAACGTCCTCCGTAACTAGACTGAACAACAAAACAACAGCAACTTGTCTGTTCCCCTTCCCCCGATTCCCCAGTGCTGTTCCCCTCCCCCAATTCCCCAATAAAATCTTAAAAAAATAAATAAAATAATAATAATAATAAATAATTGGGGCTGTAACAGTAAGGAAGAAGGAATGAACAGATAGTACACTGTTGGTTTCTATCATGGTTTTATGTAAAACTATCTCCTTCTCCTGGCAGTCACGGTTAACATTTCTTGAATATCTCGAAAGAGGCTTGTTTCTGCTTGATTTTTTCCCACTCTGCCAAGAGTTGCCATGACCCGTCCCCACTTTACCCGTATTAATTTGCCACTCCTCTTCTCTGTCATTTGATTCTCACAAAAGCTCTATGAAACGAGTAGGGTAGATGTCATGACCCCCATTTTACAGATGAAGAAACCGAGGTCCAGAGAGGTAAATTGACTTTGCCTAAATCTTCACAGTAAAAAAGAAGCTGAGCCTCCTGTCGAGGCAGTAC